GAACATGACTGAGTGGCTGAGTACACATGACTAAGATCATTTCAAAGAACAGGTGTGCGTAGAATGTTCATAAAGTAGCAACTAATAAGATGAAAGTTCCTTAGACCCTGATTGTACAAATTATATAAGACTAGTTCTACAAAGAAAAAATATTTAAGAACAGCTAATACCTTCCAAGGATTTTTAGTGTTTACTTTCCAATAAATACATGCTTTGATGCCAGGCACGAAATATCCACAGCATAAAAACCTAATCATAATGTTTAAATGGATGCTTATCAGCCCTGAGAACTGCCAAAAAACCTGTCAGGCTTGTACTTTTCATGGTGATGGTCTTTACCACCCCGTTAGGAGATGTGATGTTTTGTCTTTATTAAGCAGAGGGGGTGGTGGGGGAGTGCAGGTTGGAGGTCCATGAGTGGTTGTTTGTAGGGGATGAGATCTGTTGACTTACTGATTAGCTATATACACATCTGGATTAGATACTCTCCGCTTGGAAGATATCCTTTGTTATGACCTGGTAGTCAGATGATATAAAAGGCAAATCCAGGCTCTGCAAGACCAATAGTGACAACAACCATGGCAAAGCTTATTCTCCTCACAGGTGAGTCTGTAATTGGAGATGGAGCCTTATTCTTACCTGATTTCCTCTCTGGATCTGAAAGTCATGAAGTAGTCTTCATGCATAGCTCTATGTTTTTTTAATCTTCTTTCATCATTTCAAATTTCCAAGGGCATCCTGACATGCACAAATATGTCTGCTTCTAATTCTCTTCTCAATTGATTATGGCAGCATTTCTATCTTCACTGATGCCATAAGCACAGTCCTGAAGGAAAGGCTAGTTTTCTCCCAATGCTTGTCTTACTCTCCCATCTCTTGTTGGGTTGTTTCCTTTTCTCTATCCTTCTTCCTACACCAGGTCATTTTAATTGGTATTATTTTTATTTACATGCTTGTGTTTTTGGTCTATCTTTTTCAGAGATGGAAATCAGTAGGAACTGAGATACAGTTATGCAAGTTGTCTTTTTTCCTACTGTTTTCAGGATTATTCCTCTTTTATCCCTTACTGTTCTACTATGCCGCTGATATATTATAAAAATATCATAAATTCAATCATTTAAATGGGTAGTTTCAGTACCTTGTTTAGAGCCAAGTAGTATCCACAGCTTATTAGTTGCTCTAGAGCTGAGATTTACCAACTTTTTATAGCTTCAGCTTTTCCAGATGAGATCTCCAACTCAATTTATAAGACAATCAGATCAAAAGTGCTCTGGTAGAAGCCAGGGAATGCCATCTGGAATCTTGCCTCACAGTTCCTAGTTCTTCTCTTCTGCTATAAGGGTTCTTAAACTTGGTTTAAATAAATCCCAAGGCTCCCGGAGATATTGAGTTCACTGATTTAAAGGATGCTTTGTGTGTGAAGGCTGTATTCAACCAAGTTAAGGACAGTGAAGCATGGATGGGTGTGTAGTCACTGAGTAGAGTAAATTTCGGATAGTTTCAGTAAGTAGATCTCCCATAGATAGTAGACTTCCAACTCTGCATTCAATAACCTTTGTTACTGACATGGAAGTGGAAGAATAGGGAGACATGCTCATTTTTGACTAAGAGAAAGGAAGTGCAGCTTTATTGTTTGTTGTTGTTTAGTTGCTAAGTTGTATCCTACTCTTTTGCAACTCCAGGGACTGTAGCCCACCACACTCCTCGGTCCTTGGGATTTCCCAGGCAAGAATACTGGAGAGGGTTGCCATGCCTTCCTCTAGGGGATCTTTCCAACCCAGGGATCAAACCCGTGTCACCTGCCTTGGCAGGCAAATTCTTTACCATTGAGTCACCAGGGAATCTCTTTGCCTTCCTTAAAAAGCCTACTATTTGGCATAACCACTGAGTGCCACTTGGGTTGTAAACATCTATGACCTGTAACATCGTACCCAAGGCCTCAGAATTATATTTGGCAAGATATAGATAACTGGTTCAGAATTCCTGTTGTTTCTTTCTCTCTAGGTCTGGCCTTTCTGCTGAATTCTCAGCTAGGTAAGTCATGGACTCTGTATTTTATTCTTGACATAATGTTTCCCTACCATAAACCTCCAATCTCTGTAAATTATACTAAATGAAATTTTTGTCTGCTTAATGTATTAAATGTTATTTTTTCATACCCCAATATTACTTTTTAAAAAAAATATACCAAGAGATAAGCTGTACTAGGGAAAGAAAGCTACTGTCTTCTTCACAAACAGATGGGTTTGATGCACTGGCTGCTACTGCTATCCTATTCAGCATGACCATCTGAGAGTTATACATTAGTATTCACTGGGCTTAATAGGAGGACTACAGGGCATCTTTTCTTAAGTGGTTCTCCAGCTTAGCCGAGATCACAAAGTGAATCTGTTAAAGTTCAAAATAACCAGCCTCAAGTCAGTGACTGGTTCCCACATTAGAAGCTTTGCACTCATTAATGAAAGTGTTCCTACTAACCAACCCTGCACAGAGAACAGGCATCTGAGGCAAAGGGAGGCAAACAGAGGCAAAGCTAACACTTACAGCACATTTCAGTGGTACCTAACTCAGGCCATTGTTCTTACTTCTCACTACCCTCAGGTTCTGCCTACCAGCTGGTATGCTACTTCTCTAACTGGGCCCAGTACCGTCCAGGCCTGGGAAGCTTCAAGCCTGACAACATCGACCCCTGCCTCTGCACTCACCTGATCTATGCCTTCGCTGGGATGAGTAACAATGAGATCACCACCATTGAATGGAATGATGTGGCTCTCTACAGTTCTTTCAATGACCTGAAAAAAAAGTAAGAGAAAGGGGAGATATCTGAGTTAGTATCTTCCAGGGCAATACTTCCCAGACATTAATTAATGTGCAAACAAGTCATTCTTAAAATGCAGTTCAGGTTCAGTGAGTCTCAGGTGGAAACTAAGACACTGTGTTTATAACAAGCTTCCCAGTGATGTTGATGCTTCTTGTCCAGGAACTGAACTTCAAGTATTGAGACTATAATAACATAAAACATTGCCTGCTTTAGATAGTATTTAAAAATTAGTTCTGTTTCTCCCTTCCTTTCTCTATCGATATATTTTTTTAATTGCTCCTTTCAAGGCAAGTTTTTTGTTTTTGTTTTTTTTCAATTGGAGGCTAATTACTTTAAAATATTGTGGTGGTTTTTGCCTGACATTCACATGAATCAGCCATGGGTGTACATGTGTTCCCCATCCTGACCCTCCCTCCCACCTCCCTCCCCATCCCATCCCTCTGGGTTATCCCAGTGCACCAGCCCTGAGCACCCTGTCTCATGCCTCAAACCTGGACTGGCGATCTGTTTCACATATGATAATATAGATGTTTCAATGCTATTCTCTCAAATCATCCCACCCTTACCTTCTCCCACAGAGTCCAAAAGTCTGTTCTTTATATCTGTGTCTCTTTTGCTGTCTCACATATAGGGTCATTGTTACCATCTTTCTAAATTCCATATATATACATTAATATGCTGTATTGGTGTTTTTCTTTCTGGCTTACTTCACTCTGTATAATAGGCTCCAGTTTCGTCCACCTCATTAGAACTGATTCAAATGCATTCTTTTTAATGGCTGAGTAATATTCCATGGTGTATATGTACCACAGCTTCCTTATCCATTCGTCTGCTGATGGGCATCTAGGTTGCTTCCATGTCCTGGCTATTATAAACAGTGCTGCGATGAACATTGGGGTGCACGTGTCTCTTTCAGATCTGGTTTCCTCGGTGTGTATGCCCAGAAGTGGGATTGCTGGGTCATATGGCAGTTCTATTTCCAGCTTTTTAAGAAATCTCCACACTGTTTTCCATAGTGGCTGTACTAATTTGCATTCCCACCAACAGTGTAAGAGGGTTCCCTTTTCTCCACACCCTCTCCAGCATTTATTGCTTGTAGACTTTTGGATAGCAGCCATCCTGACTGGCGTGTAATGGTACCTCATTGTGGTTTTGATTTGCATTTCTCTGATAATGAGTGATGTTGAGCATCTTTTCATGTGTTTGTTAGCCATCTGTATGTCTTCCTTGGAGAAATGTCTGTTGAGTTCTTTGGCCCATTTTTTGATTGGGTCATTTATTTTTCTGGAGTTGAGCTGGAGGAGTTGCTTGTATATTTTTGAGATTAATCCTTTGTCTGTTGCTTCGTTTGCTATTATTTTCTCCCAATCTGAGGGCTGTCTTTTCACCTTGCTTATAGTTTCCTTTGTTGTGCAAAAGCTTTTAAGTTTCATTAGGTCCCATTTGTTTATTTTTGCTTTTATTTCTAAAATTCTGGGATGTGGGTCATAGAGGATCCTGCTGTGATTTATGTCGGAGAGTGTTTTGCCTATGTTCTCCTCTAGGAGTTTTATAGTTTCTGGTCTTACATTTAGATCTTTAATCCATTTTGAGTTTATTTTTGTGTATGGTGTTAGAAAGTGTTCTAGTTTCATTCTTTTACAGGTGGTTGACCAGTTTTCCCAGCACCACTTGTTAAAGAGGTTGTCTTTTTTCCATTGTATATCCTTGCCTCCTTTGTCGAAGATAAGGTGACCATAGGTTCGTGGATTTATCTCTGGGCTTTCTATTCTGTTCCATTGATCTATATTTCTGTCTTTGTGCCAGTACCATACTGTCTTGATGACTGTGGCTTTGTAGTATAGTCTGAAGTCAGGCAGGTTGATTCCTCCAGTTCCATTCTTCTTTCTCAAGATTACTTTGGCTATTCGAGGTTTTTTGTATTTCCATACAAATTGTGAAATTATTTGTTCTAGTTCTGTGAAAAATACCGTTGGTAGTTTGATAGGGATTGCATTGAATCTATAGATTGCTTTGGGTAGTATAGCCATTTTGACAATATTGATTCTTCCAATCCATGAACACGGTATATTTCTCCATCTGTTTGTGTCCTCTTTGATTTCTTTCATCAGTGTTTTATAGTTTTCTATGTATAGGTCTTTTGTTTCTTTAGGTAGATATACTCCTAAGTATTTTATTCTTTTTGTTGCAATGGTGAATGGTATTGTTTCCTTAATTTCTCTTTCTGTTTTCTCATTGTTAGTGTATAGGAATGCAAGAGATTTCTGTGTGTTAATTTTATATCCTGCAACTTTACTGTATTCGTTGATTAGCTCTAGTAATTTTCTGGTAGAGTCTTTAGGGTTTTCTATGTAGAGGATCATGTCATCTGCAAACAGAGAGAGTTTCACTTCTTCTTTTCCTATCTGGATTCCTTTTACTTCTTTTTCTGCCCTGATTGCTGTGGCCAACACTTCCAAAACTATGTTGAATAGTAGTGGTGAGAGTGGGCACCCTTGTCTTGTTCCTGATTTCAGGGGAAATGCTTTCAATTTTTCACCATTGAGGGTGATGCTTGCTGTGGGTTTGTCATATATAGCTTTTATTATGTTGAGGTATGTTCCTTCTATTCCTGCTTTCTGGAGAGTTTTAATCATAAATGGATGTTGAATTTTGTCAAAGGCTTTTTCTGCATCTATTGAGATAATCATATGGTTTTTATCTTTCAATTTGTTAATGTGGTGTATTACATTGATTGATTTGCGGATATTAAAGAATCCTTGCATTCCTGGGATAAAGCCCACTTGGTCATGATGTATGATTTTTTTAATATGTTGTTGGATTCTGTTTGCTAGAATTTTGTTAAGGATTTTTGCATCTATGTTCATCAGTGATATTGGCCTGTAGTTTTCTTTTTTTGTGGCATCTTTGTCTGGTTTTGGAATTAGGGTGATGGTGGCCTCATAGAATGAGTTTGGAAGTTTACCTTCTTCTGCAATTTTCTGGAAGAGTTTGAGTAAGATAGGTGTTAGCTCTTCTCTAAATTTTTGGTAGAATTCAGCTGTGAAGCCATCTGGTCCTGGGCTTTTGTTTGCTGGAAGATTTCTGATTACAGTTTCGATTTCCTTGCTTGTGATGGGTTTGTTAAGATCTTCTATTTCTTCCTGGTTCAGTTTTGGAAAGTTATACTTCTCTAAGAACTTGTCCATTTCTTCCAAGTTGTCCATTTTATTGGCATATAGTTGCTTATAGTAGTCTCTTATGATCCTTTGTATTTGTGTTGTCTGTTGTGATTTCTCCATTTTCGTTTCTAATTTTGTTGATTTGATTCTTCTCCCTTTGTTTCTTGATTAGTCTGGCTAATGGTTTGTAAATTTTATTTATCTTCTCAAAGAACCAGCTTTTAGCTTTGCTGATTTTGGCTATGGTCTCCTTTGTTTATTTTGCATTTATTTCTGCCCTAATTTTTATGATTTCTTTCCTCCTACTAATCCTGAGGCTCTTCCTTTCTTCCTTTTCTAGTTGCTTTAGGTATAGAGCTAGGTTATTTATTTTATTTCTCTCCTGTTTTTGAGGTAGGTTTGTACTGCTATGAACGTTCCCCTTAGCACTGCTTTTACTGAATCCCATAGGTTTTGGGTTGGTGTGTTTTCATTTTCATTTTTTCTATGCATATTTTGATTTCTTTTTTTTATTTCTTCTGTGATTTGTTGATTAGTCAGAAGTGTGTTGTTTAGCCTCCATGTGTTTGTATTTTTAATAGCTTTTTCCCTGTAGTTGACATCTAATCTTACTGCATTGTGATCAGAAAAGATGCTTGAGATGATTTCAGTTTTTTTGAATTTACCAAGGTTAGATTTATAGCCCAGGATGTGATCCATCCTGGAGAAGGTTCCATGTGCACTTGAGAAAAAGGTGAAATTTATTGTTTTAAGTTGAAATGTCCTATAGATATCAATTAGGTCTAACTGGTCCATTGTATCATTTAAAGTTTGTATTTCCTTGCTAATTTTCTGTGTAGTTGATTTATCCATAGGTGTGAGTGAGGTATTAAACTCTCCCACTATTATTGTGTTACTGTTAATTTCCCCTTTCATACTTATTAGCATTTGCCTTACATATTGTGGTGCTCCTATGTTGGTTGCATATATATTTATAATTATTATATCTTCTTCTTGGTGTGATCCTTTGATCACTATGTAGTGTCCTTCTTTGTCTCTTTCCATGGCCTTTTCTTTCAAAATCTATTTTATCTGATATGAGTATTGCTACTCCTGCTTTCTTTTGGTCTCCATTTGCACGAAATATCTTTTTCCAGCCCTTCACTTTCAGTCTATATGTATCCCTAGGTTTGAGGTGGGTCTCTTGTAGACAGCATATATAGGGGTCTTGCTTTTGTATCCATTCAGCCAGTCTTTGTTCTTTGGTTGGGGCATTCAACCCATTTACATTTAAGGTAATTATTGATAAGTATGATCTCATTACCATTTACTTTGTTGTTTCAGATTCGAGTTTATAAACCTTTTCTGTGTTTCCTATCTAGAAGAGATCCTTAGCATTTGTTGGAGAGCTGGTTTGATGGGGCTGAATTGTCTCAGCTTTTGCTTGTCTGTAAAGCTTTTCATTTCTCCTTCATATTTGAGTGAGATCCTTGCTGGGTACAATAATCTGTTGTAGATTTTTCTCTTTCATCACTTTAAGTATGTCTTGCCATTCCCTTCTGGCTTGAAGAGTTTCTATTGAAAGATCAGCTGTTATCCTTATGGGGATCCCTTTGTGAGTTATTTGTTGTTTTTCCCTTGATGCTTTTAATATTTGTTCTTTGTGTTTGATCTTTGTTAATTTGATTAATATGGGTCTTGGGGTGTTTCAATTTGGGTTTATCCTCTTTGGGACACTCTGGTTTTCTTAGACTTGGGTGGCTATTTCCTTCCCCATCTTAGGGAAGTTTTCAACTATTATCTCCTCAAGTATTTCCTCAAGGCCTTTCTTTTTGTCTTCTTCTTACGGGACTCCTATGATTTGAACGTTGGGGCTTTTTACATTGTCCCAGAGATCTCTGATGTTTTCCTCATTTCTTTTAATTCTTTTTTCCTCTCTGCTTCATGTATTTCCACAATTCTATCTTCCACTTCATTTATCCTATCTTCTGCCTCAGTTATTCTACTGTTGGTTGCCTCCAGAGTGCTTTTGATCTCAGTTATTGCATTATTCATTATTGGTTGACTCTTTTTTATTTTTTCTAAGTCCTTGTTAAACTTTTCTTGCATCTTCTCAATCCTTGTCTCCAGACTATTTATGTGTAACTCCATTTTGTTTTCAAGATGTTGGATCATTTTTACTATCACTATTCTGAATTCTTTATCAGATATACTACCTATCTCCTCCTCTTCTGTTTGGTTTGGTGGGCTTTTATCATGTTCCTTTACCTGCTGAATATTTCTCTGCCTTTTCATCTTATTTAGGTTGCTGTGTTTGGGTGGTCTTTCTCTATGCTGGAAGTTTGTGGTTCTTCTTTATTGTGGAGGTTCCCCCCTGTGGGTGGGGTTGGACGAGTGGCTTGTCAGAGTTTCCTGGTTAGGGAAGCTTGCATCAGTGTTCTGGTGGGTGGAGCTGGATATCTTCTCTCTGAAGTGCAATGAAGTGTCCAGTAGTGAGTTTTGAGGTGTCTATGGGTTTCGTGTGACTTTTGGCCTCCTGTATTTCTGTGCTCAGGGTTATGTTCCTGCGTTGTTGAAGAATTAGCTTGGAATGTCTTGGAATTCCAATGTCTTGGAATGTCTGGAACTTGTTGGCTCTTGGGTGGTGCTTGGTTTCAGTGTAGGTATGGAGGCTTTTAGATGAGCTCTTGTTGATTAATGTTCCCTGGAGTCAGGAGTTTTCTGGTGTTCTCAAGTTTTGGATTTGAGTTATGATGTGTGTGTGCATGCTAAGCTGCTTCAGTCATGTCCCACTCTTTGTGACTGTATGGACTATAGCCCACCAGGCTCCTCTGTCCATGGGATTCTCCAGACAAGAATACTGCAGTGGGTTGCCATGCTCTCCTCTAGGGGATCTTTCCCACCCAGGGACTAAACCCACATCTCTTATGTCTCCTGAATAGGCAGGCAGATTCTTTACCACTAGCACCACCTGGGAAGCCCAAGCCCTTTCAGAGTGGTATTTCTTAAACTGTGATCTATATCTTGCATCAAAATCACATATGAGGCAGTTGATAAATATCTCAGTCCCTAATCCAACTGAATCACAGTCTTTGAGAAAGGGGCTAAACACCTGAAATTTTAATGTTATCCTTCAACTCTGGTCCTTGTACTCTATTCTTATCTAAACTGATGCTTGAGAAACACTAGTCCAGATAATGTTCATGATTCTAAGCCAACTGATTCATTTTCATGATCACAGAGTCTGAGAAAGTAATTATGTCCAAGCATCACTTACCATTTCAGCTGATAGGATAGAATGTAAGAATTCCCAGTACAATCCTATTTTTAAAAAACCTAGTCCTGTGGAACAGGAACTCATAAATGAAGGTCTTAAAGAGCTTAACCGCGAAGAGGGGGGGAATTTTACAAGACACTTACTTGCTGAGGTTTAGCCTAGGAGCACTGGAAGCAACTTCAGATGCAAATGGGCTTTCAACATTAGGCCCGAGAAGCAGAGAAGGAAGAGGAACTTTGAGAACTTGAAGCAGGGATAGCTGCAGAGAACTTCCAGGACAAGATCCAGGAGATCCTGCTCATCCATCAAGTGCTGCCCTGAAATATCCATCCCAAGCAAAGTGTTTGCCCTAATAGTGTTAGTTGCTCAGTCATGTCTGACTCTTTGTGACCCCCCTGGACTGTAGCCTGCCAGGGTCCCCTGTCCATGGGATTCTTTTTGCAAAAATACTGGAGTGTGTTGCCATTTCCTTCTCTAGTGGATCTTCCCAACCCAGAGATCGAACCCGGGTCCCCCACATTGCAAGCAGATTCTTTACCTTCTGAGCCACCAGGGAAGCTCTGTAGTTTCATAGCATCAACCTATTTTTTTTTCTCAGTCTTTTACTATAGTATTTTAAACTATAGTATGCTTATATGTCTCTTCTATATGCTAAGTTGCTTCAGTCGTGTCCGGCTCTTTGCGACCGTCTGGACTGTAGCCTGCCAGGCTCCTCTGTCCATGGGCTGCTCCAGGAAAGAATACTGGAGTGGGTTGCCATTCCCTTCTCCAGGAGGCCTTCTCTACCCAGGGATCAAACCTGCTTCTCTTATGTCTCCTGCACTGGCAGGCAGATACTTTACCACTAGAGCTACCTGGGAAGCCCATGTTCCTTTTAACTCATGGATAAACTGTTCTTTTATTCTCAAGGGAAGGAAAAAAAAAGTCTTCTAATTTAGATTTCTCTAAAGAACTCTGTGCATTCATAATGATAACACAAATAATTTTTATAAATAAAGTGTTCTGTAGTGATGGGAAATTGTTCTACAGAGTATCTTATCAAGACAACATTAAAGTTTATAATCAGGCCCAATGCAAAGCATTATTTTTAAATTGAAGGATTCATGGATTTTGAAGTTTTTCTTTTATCTACTTTGTTTTATAGGAACAGCCAGCTGAAAATTCTCCTGGCCATTGGAGGCTGGAACTTTGGAACTGCCCCGTAAGTCCTCTACGAGAGAGCTTGATGTTCATTTAATTTACTATGGATAACAGGTTAGCCCAGTGTGACCCATGTCCCTTCAGATTTCATAATCCACCACTGCTGCTGTCACTTCAGTCGTGTCCGACTCTTGTGTGACCCCATAGATGGCAGCCCAACAGGCTCCTCTGTCCCTGGGATTCTCCAGGAAAGAATACTGGGGTGTGTTGCCATTTCTTTCTCCAATGCATGCATGCAGGCTAAGTCGCTTCAGTTGTGTCCGACTCTGTGTGACCCTATGGACAGCAGCCCACCAGGCTCCTCAGTCCACGAGATTCTCTAGGCAAGAATACTGGAGTGAGTTGCCATTTCCTTCTCCAGATTTCATAACCTAAGATGGGGTATTAAGGATGTACATTAAACAAATATGCTACTTAAATAAATTACTACACCAGAATCTCAGTACTAAATAGAACACAATTTATTGTATATGTTTACATTTATATGGATATTCTAGGACTCCATTCACAGAGATTCAGTTACTAAGACTTCAAAACAATCTCTTCTTAAAGTATTTCAGAAACACAATGCCTGAGAAGAGTGTTATAGCACTTTTCTCCATTTACCTTCTGGAAGAAAGAAAGAGAATGTCATGAAAATAAATAAGGAAACTCTTTTAAAGGCATATGAACTTCAGAGATCATTTAGAGAGACAACACATTGAGCCAAAGTAGACAGGCATTCAAAACAACAGGTCCAATTTGGAAGAATAATCAGAGTTGGGTGGATAACAAAGTAAAGAGAATGTTGAGGTACCATGGCTGGCAGAGTAGTTACATAAAGAAGTACAGGAGAAAATCAGCAATAAACTTTTATCTGGGCTTTGGGTCCTAGTGGAAAGCTTTGAGGCAAAAATATAGGAGTTTGACTTTCCAACGAGATGTTGTGGCCACCAAGACCTCACTCTGCCTTCTTTGAATCTCTCTCAGTTTCACTGCCATGGTTGCCACTCCAGAGAACCGCAAGACTTTCATTTCTTCAGTCATCCAGTTCCTGCGCCAGTATGGATTTGATGGGCTGGATTTTGATTGGGAGTACCCTGGCTCTCGTGGAAGCCCTTCTCAGGACAAGCATCTCTTCACTGTCTTGGTGCAGGTGAGGAGGAATGTGGCAGCGTCGAGCCCAAGAAAATCCAAAGGAGAATTCTTTGCAAGGAGAATCTGGTGGTTCCAGAATGAAAGTAAATTGGAGTTTAGATTTATAGGATCTTTGCATCACAAAGATTCTCGTATATCATGCCTATATTCAACAGCATTTGATAACAACAACAACAACATTACATGGTTTATGTGCCAGGCACAATTTTATAAGCTGTTTTTAAAGTTATAGCCCATTTCATCTTCATATGTACCCTATGATAAAGATACTATAAGTATAATAACCTTTATTTTACAAATGAGAAAGCTAAAATATGAAGAGTTTAAGCAACCTAACATCAAACAACTAATAGGTGTCATAACTACCCATGTAGTCTGGGTACTACATGGGTACTAATGAGCACTAATTTTTTGAAGGAGTTTTTAGTAATCTAGAGATATGGCAAAACTCATGTTTTAGAAGGATTACTCTGACTTTAACCATGGAGGATGAATTAAAAGGAGGTAGGGAGACAGGGAGAGAGTTAGGAGGCTATTACAATAACTCAAGCCAGAAAGGCTGAGGACCTGAACAAAGATCCTAACAGTGAGGACAGAAAGAGGAAGTATACAAGAGATATTAGGAGGGTAGAATCAATAGGATTTGGAGACCAAATGGAAGTGGGAAAAGAGAGAATTTCCAGTTTTCTGTCCTTGAGAATTGATTTGACTCTGGCCCTCTTAACTAAGATGGTAAATACAGGAAGAAGGTAGATTTGAAACAAGAAGAAAAACTCATTAATTTGTCTTTGAACATGATGAGAGAGAGGAATTTGTAGGGCACCATAAGAATGCCCAATAGACACTGGATGAATATATGTTGGATGAATGACAAACGGGTATTTGATATATTGTATCGACATCATCAACAAAGTTAAATAATTAAGAGATCACCGAGGAAAAATGAATGGAGTGAGAAAAGCAAGGATGGCTTTTAGATTTCAGTTCAGTTCAGTCACTCAGTCATGTCTGACTCTGTGACCCCATAAACTGCAGCACGCCAGACCTCCCTGTCCATTACCAACTGCCAGAGTCCACCCAAACCCATGTCCATTGAGTCGGTGATGCCATCCAACCATCTCATCCTCTGTTGTCCCCTTCTCCTCCTGCCATCAATCTTTCCCAGAATCAGGGTCTTTTCAAATGAGTCAGCTCTTCGCATCAGGTGGCCAAAGTATTGGAGTTTCAGCTTCAACATCAGTCCTTCCAAAGAATACTCAGGACTGATCTCCTTGAGGATGGACTGGTTGGATCTCTTTGCAGTCCAAGGGACTCTCAAGAGTCTTCTCCAACACCACAGTTCAAA